GTGCCCTGGTGCACCCCGGGTCCCAGAGGCAGAGAGTGTGGAGTGAGTTCATGGACGACTAACAGCCATATGGTAATTACGGGTCCTCAGTCTCTGCCCCTTTCCCCACCTGCCTAGGCTCACGGTGGGGAGCTGAAGGCCGAGCTTGCATGCTTACTCCGAGACCCGATGCAAAGGCCAAGGTGCCAGCCAGCCGTGGCCTCATTGTATCAGAAAGGGTTCCGTCCTGCTAACACTGTGCTCTTTATCTCCTGTCTGGTGTTGTCCTCCTTTCAGCATTTGTAGAACGTCTGCTCTTTGCCAGGCGCTCGAGCCTGTGCCCTCGGGGATCTTTCGGTTCTGGGGGGAAAGAGAGTCATGAATCACGCAGTGACAGTGTGTGGGAAAGGGCCGTCCAGCGTGCCCGGGGTCATTTGGGACGGACACCCCGCCTCACCTCCCTGGCTGGGACTTCCAACCAGGGGCCCCGAAGGGTGAGCAGCTAGGGTTCAGGTGGGTTTTCCCAAGCAGGGGAGCATGGTGGTACCTGGAGGAACTTTGGGAATGCCTTTGGAATTTTTTTTAAAGATTTTTTTTTAATTTTTTTTTTTTTATTTACTTAGGATAGTCACAGAGAGAGAGAGAGAGGCAGAGACACAGGCAGAGGGAGAAGCAGGCTCCATGCACCGGGAGCCCGATGTGGGACTCGATCCCAGGACCCCAGGGATCATGACCTGAGCCAAAGGCAGATGCTCAACCTCTGAGCCACCCAGGTGCCCCTGGGAATATCTCTGGAACAGCATTTGAAGACAGGGCTAGGGGAGAGGAGAGCAAGTCATGTTCCCCAGGATCTCCAAACCCTGCAGACTTCAGCCAGCTGGTGGGGGGGGGAGGAGGGTGTCATTGGGGGGGCCGTGGGGTGAACCCTCAGAGCCACTACTGACCCCACTCTGCGGTGGCCCCTCCACCCAGGGCGCTCTCAGCAGGGGAAGGAAGGAGGCGCCTAGCACTTGGCAGAGGCACGCTCTCCTTCGCGGTTTCCAGGGAAGTCACAGTGGCACACAGGTGGGGACTGAGCAGGTTCCCAGGACACAGGATGTGTCGTGCGAGAACCAGGAAGGTCCCAGACCAACTGGGACCAGGTGCTCAACCTACCAGCAGGGCTGCCCTTCCACCCCCTGCACGCTGGTGGCCACAATGGTTCTTGAAACACCATATATTTCCTTTATTTTTTTTTTATTTTTTTCTTTTTGCGTTTAAAACGATATATTTCCATACTTTTTTTAACTCTTTTATTTTCTAAAGATTTTATTTCTTCATTCATGAGAGACACAGAGAGAGAGGCAGACACACAGGTAGAGGGAGAAGCAGGTGCCCTGCGGGGAGCCCGATGCGGAACTCGATCCCAGGACCCTGGGATCATGACCTGAGCCAAAGGCAGATGCTCAACCACTGAGCCACCCGGGCTTCCCATATATTTCCATGCTTAGTGGTTTAGGACATAGTAGTCCCCCGAGCCCCTGGGCTGTGTCCCCACATCCCTGTCAGCCCCGCCCGCTGGTCGGAGATCCCCCAGGACCTCATTCCTTGAATCCTGGACCTAAAGGAGTAACCCTGGCCCAGCAGGGGCATTCTCTCTGACAGGCCGGTGCCCACGCTGCACCTCTTGACAAATGTCACCTTGCATACCCCTTGTTGTCCTGCGTTCTGCTGTGCCTTGACCGGGCTTGGTGCTCTCTGCATCTCCCCTGCCTGTCAAGACGCATGCCCCTGAATCTGCAGAGCAGCTGCCGTGGCTCCTAGTGTGGACAGGGGGGCTGCTAGTCAAAGATGGTGAACAGGAGCACAGCCCAGAGGTTTCTTCCCTCGTCCTCCCTCTGGGGCACCTACGAAGACGCAGCCTGAGCCTATTTCCAGCAACTGGCATAGGATTCGACACCAGGTGATGCCCCGTGGATGTGACCCCCTGACTCCTAAGGATGGTCGGTGACCACAGTCAGGTTATAAGTGAGTTTGTGAGCAGCCCTGTGGTGCATCGTCTTGGACAGCTTGAGAGGCACCTCCTCCAGGTCAGACTTTGTTTTGTAGCAATTGGCAACATTTGAGATTCTCGGCCACTTTTTTTTTTTTTTAAGATTTTATTTATTTATTCACGAGAGACTCACAGAGAGAGGCAGAGGCAGAGGGAGAAGCAGGCTCCCTGCGGGGAGCCCGATGTGGGACTAGATCCCAGGACCCCGGGGTCACGCCCTGAGCCGAAGGCAGATGCTCAACCACTGAGCCCCCCAGGTGCCGTCTCCACCACTTTTCTTTCAAGGTAACTGGTTTTCCGTCTGCATCTCTCTCCAAGCCAGTTACCGCAGGAGCTCCATAAATATGCTCCAACGAGAAGTTTCCATGGTCCATCCTCTACGACAGGTGGAAACAGGCATTTGTAGAGCTGTTCCTTGTGCACGAGGTTAGGGAGGTGACCATCCCAAGTCTCCTGTGACACACGCCCTCCCCTCAGTACAATGAAGGAGCAGTCAAGGGGAGACCTCACATTGGGTTCAGCCACGGGGACACCCCAGCAGGCAATCAGGAAGGCGGGAGGAGAGGTAGGTCTGGGCATTTATTCTGATCTCCGCCTCTGCTAAGGAGGGTTGGTGATGGTCCCTGCCTGTGGCCCCAGCTGAGGACTTCCCCTAGGTGCACTCCCCTGGCTCTGGGTTCCCAGCTTCTCCCTCCCCTGTGCCCACAGGCTTGTGGGGCTGCAGGCCTGAAGACTTTCCCTGTTTTTCTTGAACTACCTTCAACCCTGCCCCCATCTTTGTAAAGAGTCCCTTTATTAGACTCTCTCCTTAAACTGCCCAGTTTGCGGGGCTCTCTGGTTCCTGCGGGGGGGCCTGAGTGCTGGGGGCCCGCAGAGCAGCACTTAGCTCCCTCTGAATCCCTGTTACTCTAGGAGCTGAGGGCAGGTTCATGCATGGCCTCCAGGGTCCAAGCCTCTTGGGGGGTGGTGGGGCAGGCTGCAACAGCAGGGATTCATTCCTTCTCAGTTCTGGCGGTGGAAGTCCCAGGATCAAGGTGTTGGAGGTGGAGGTGCGGTTGGGTTGGTTTCCTTCTGGGGCTGCTCTCCCTGGCTTGTGGATGGCATCGTCTCCTCCCAGTAGCTTCCCCTGGTCCCCCTCCGTGGGTGTCTGTCTTAGTCTCCTTTCAAAGACACCAGTCCTATGGGACTGGGCCCCCCCTTGCCCCTGCCAAGATGACATCATGTCACCCTGATTTCCTCCTAAAAGACCTGTCTCCAAATACAGTCCCATTCTGAGGTCCTTGGGGGTTAGGGCTTCAACATATGAATTTTGGGGAGGACACAATTCAGCCCATGAAAAGCTGTAAGGGGTCAGGGAGGGTGTCCGTGCAGCTCCGTGTCTCCAGGCGCGCAATCTGGCTGTGCCGTCGTCTTAAACCAGTCCCTTCCTGAAGCTTCCTCTTCCGTAAGGTGAGAGGGGGCTCTCAGCTTGTGTCAGTCACCCAGAGGGGACAGGGGACATCATGCTCTCCTCCTGTTTGCCTTTTGGGCCCAGCTGGGCTCCATCTCGGGATCCCAGCACCTGTCTCAACAGTCTCAGCCGCTGGTCACAAGGGAGATGGCCAGGGGAGAGCTTGTGTCTGCGTCATCTTTCGCCTTTGCCTGGGGCTATGGAGGCACGACCCCAAACAGCCACCTGAATGTTAGTGGCCCAGGAGAGTTACCTCTGAGTGTAATGGGTTGACCTCTGCTCCTTCCGTTCTTGCCTCCCGTCACCACCAGGTATCCTGGGTCCGGTTTGCTGTTTCTTCCCTCCTGCACCTTGGCCTCAGGCCATTCCTTCTGCTTGGAGCAATGTCCTTTCTGAACACTTCTGGCACCTGGTCGGCACCCCATCAATGCGTTAGCAGTGAATAAATGACCTGACCTTTTTTTTCCTTTTTTTTCCATAATGAATTCCTCCCAAGTGTTTCTCAGCAAGCATCCTGACAGTTCTTTTGTTTCCTTATGTTAAATTGTCAGTTGGCTATCAAGCGAGTTAGCCATGTGGGCCCAGATCATCCTGGGGTTGGGGGGGCAGATGTACAGAGGTGAGTCAGGTATAGCACGACAGGTAAGAGCCCTGGAAAAGGACTGTGAGAGTCCCTAAGCCTGCCTGGGAATAAGGGAAGGCTTCCCAGAGCAGGGAAATTTGGTCAGGGCTTTGAAGGATGTACAGGAGTCCAAGAGGCAGAGAAACGTGGGGAAAATATTCTTGACATGTACAAAGGCTGAGAGTTGGAAAAAGGCCTGGCATCTTTTGGTGCTGGATGAGGTGAAAGTGTGTCCAGTTCGACATGAAGCCGACTTGTGCTGCATGCATGCAGGGAGTGGACCAGAACTTCGTCCCTCCCCTCCGGGGCCTCCTTTTCCCCCAGCCTGTGAGCTTTTGGTTTGGGCTGAGAAGGCACAGAGGTGAATTTTAGAGAATGTTCTTAAAACGGGAGTCTCCTACCTCCTGTCTCGCCAGCGTCAGTGACTGAGGCAAGGCCGAAGGCTGGCAGGCCCCGTGTGGGCACTTGACCTTGAGGTCACCATCAGCAGGAAGGCAGCCCAGGGGCTGCGCAGCGAAACCATGGGGACGCGTGCTACACCCTGCAGCCCATCAAAGGCCAGCAGAGTGGAATGTGGCCTCTCACAGCAAAGATCTGGGCCAGGCGGCTGGGGCATGACTGCTTACTCATCAGGCTTCAGCCCCACCGCTGCTCACGCCACACTTCTGGCTAAACACACGACGCAGGGCCGCCTGCCTGCCCTGCCTGCCTCTCCTTGGGGTGCGCTCCTTGGGGACTCCCATGAATGATGGCCTCTCCCCACCAGACACTCCTGGGCCCTCATTCCCTGGACAAGTCTTCAGCCGTGGAAGGGTGCGATGGATGGGCTGCGTGGAAAGGTCTGGGCTATTTGTGAGGCCCTCTTCAAGTCCCCAGTGCTTAGCCTATTTGTTCACTATTACCTCCCTGCCCTATAGGTTGGTGGTGAAGGCTGTGTGAGATGATGAACGGGACGGGTGCGGAAAACTCAAGAAGGTTGGACCCACGTCGTCATGTTCATGTGTTTGGCTTCATTTTCCCCTATTTGGGCAGCAGCGAGAAGATGCACCTCCACAGCAGCTCTCCCTGATGATCACATTTCCTGGGCCTTGTGAAAGGTAACCAAGAGAAGACCAACTAGGGGCCCCTGGTGGCTCAGTGGTTGAGCATCTGCCTTCAGTTCAGGGCGTGAGCCCGGTGTCCTGGGATCGAGTTCCGCATCAGGCTCCCCACAGGGAGCCTGCTTCTCCCTCTGCCTGTGTCTTGCCTCTCTGTCTCTCTCATGAATAAATAAATAAAATCTTAAAAAAAAAAAAAAAACGCAGGGCTGCATGCAATATTTGACTCTGGGGTCCTTGGGGGAAAGCCAGCTTCCTGCCACCTCCAATGTTCTCTGCCTGACTCCCCACCATGGTCGGCGCCTCCCTGGCTTGTCCTTCTTTGAAGCTCTTTGCTCCTCCTGCTGCTTTTACAGTGGCCCACTGATTTGTCTTCTCTGATCCACATTCCAATCATCCCGAAGGCCTCTGCCAAGTGTCTTCTTTCTTCTTCAATAAGTCTCCTTTGGTTGAACGACAGCTTAGAGTCTATCCTGAGGTCTGTTGATCTCAATCCCCTTCCCTTCTGAGGAGCAAGCTAAAGACTCTACCTTTTCCAAAATTGATTTGGGGGGGGGGGGGAATCTCAAACCCTTGAAACTGAAGTTCTAGCTTCTTGCAAAGTTGGGTGATGTCTCCTGTCATCTATTTTTTTTTTTTAAGATTTTTAATTTATCTATTAGAGAGAGAATGAGCATGAGTGGGGGGAAGGGGCAGAGGGAGATGGAGCAGCAGACTCTGTGCCACATGGAGTAGCCAACGTCACTCACGTGGCTGCATTGGCTGGGGAGCAGCTCCAACCTGAATGCCCAGGACAGTGTCTTAGCCTTTGGGCTCCCGAGCCGCGTGGCCTCATTGTTCGGTACTCTAGCTTGAGCTTCCCTACCGCATGGTGGTTGGCTTCCTGGTGGAGCGTCCCAAGAGGGCAAAACCCAGTGTGAAAGTGCTGGTCAAGGCTCTGTTGTGACTCATGGGTCAAAGCAAGTCATGAGGTCAATCCCAAAGTCAGTGTGTGCAGGGGGCCAAGCATGCGATTGTAGGGAGGCATGGTTCGTTGGGGGCCACTGCTGTGGGACTTCCCACAGACACCTTTCCTTTCTGTTGGCCTTTATAAGGATGATTAAAACAAGGCATATCTCTGTGGCTCTGGGATCTGTCAGCTTAGCCCCAGGCGTTCCTTTCTACAAGTTCCTCCTCGCCTCTGCCCCCCAGACAGGACTCCGCACAAACTGCCACCTCCTCGGTGAAGCCTTTCTGCACATGTGCGGCTGAGGGATGGTTGCATATGTCGATCTCCTCTGGGGCCTTTGTCATGCGTCAGTTATGAGAAGTTTCAAAACAAGATTGTGATCTTTTGGGGCGCCTGGGTGAGCATCTGCCTTTGGCTCAGGGCGTGATCCTGGAGACCTGGGATGGAGTCCCACGTCGGGCTCCCTGCATGCAGCCTGCTTCTCCCTCTGCCTGTGTCTCTGCCTCTCTCTCTGTGTCTCTCATGAATAAATAAATAGATAAAATCTTAAAAACAAAAAACAAGATTACAGTCTTTCATTGTTTGACATGGGCCCCAGAAGCCTTCCAGTTAATCCCTGCTCCACCACCACTGCCATTGAACGGACCCAGGGACTGAAATCCGGACCCTACGTCACACAGTGGGTTGGTGGCCGTGCCTGGGTCCGAATGCAGCTCCCCCAACACTCTGTCCAGCGTGCTCTTCTCTACTCCTGTGGCCGGGCGTTGCTGTGTCTTTCGTCCCCAGGTGGACCGAAGCTACTTGACCCAGCACAGCCCCCACGGTGTCCGGTGGCCACCGCGCTTCTGAACCGCTGCCTCATTCATCTCTCCAATTCCCTGATGTGGGATTAACACCTCGCTGCCCAGAGAAGGAAAGCATAGTGCTAGAAGTGACTTGTCCAAAGTCCTGCAGCTCCTGCGTCTTAGAACTAGGACCTATACTCAGAGCCGGGCCTTTCAAATCCCCTCTCCCTTCTTCTCTTCTCTGGAAAGCCATTCTCTGCACACGGATGAACAGTCAACTGTTTCAGAGAACATTCGGTGGAAACTGTCTCCCTGTGAGCCCAGATCCCCAGGCGCAGACATCCCCACAAAGCTGTCTGCTGCTTCCAGCTCCTTTCCTGTAATTTCAGATTCTCTGTGCATATATAATCGCGTCCGTGAATATCCTGTAGAAAGTGTTCATGCTCCACACACTGTCCTGAACCCTGCTTTTCGCTCAGTGGTTTGTCTTAGAGCACACCCTTTATCTGTCCTTTTTTTTTTTTTAAGATTTTATTTATTTATTCATGAGAGACAGAGGGAGAGGCAGAGACACAGGCAGAGGAAGAGCAGGCCCCCTGCGGGGGAAGCCTAATGCAGGACTCGATCCCAGGACCCCGGGATAACGCCCTGAGCCGAAAGCAGACGCTCAACCACTGAGCCTCCCAGGCGTCCCTATCTGTGCTTATAGATCAACCTTATTCTTTGAAACACATTTGGATGAGCCAGCCCTCTGGTCACAGCCACCCAGAGGCCTGTGCTTTTTCAAAATCTTTTTTTTTTTTTTTCTATTCTAAACATCTAAATGCTACTCCTACAATGGCCATAAAATAAATGTTCAGCTACGCACTGTTCCTTTTCTTCCTCTCTTGGGTTCATCCCCAATATTCACCCCATCCCCAGCCCCCTTCCAACACTGCCTACCTGTTGATGGGGCCCCTGTGATGAGCCTAGGGCTCTGCTAGGCTCTGGCAGGCCCCCTGGTTCTCCTCGTTGCTGGAATCCAAGGCCACACACGCACCTTCTTTTACATGGTCCAGTTACTACTGCTTGTTGTTGGTATAAAGAATGTTTATTATACTTCTAAATCTATTAACTTTTTGGTAAACTATTCAAACGCAACTGATACAAACTTAAAATGTCACAGATCACATTTCCTTAAACATTTATGCAAATTACCCTGTTTGAGTGTAACTCTGCATCTAATGCTTCGAACATCCCAAAACCCCGAGAGTTTTTACTGTCCCCAAGAGCCTATTTGTAAAAATCATGACTATCGATTTGAACAATTTATTTGTTCTCGCGATAAAACTTATTTTTGTACTTTCCCAGAATTGCAATATCAAACCCAAAAGAGAGAGATGATCTCCTCTGCAGGTAGACTGAAATAGCTTCAGGGTTATTGGTTGTTGGATTCTTCTTCTTCTTCTTTTTTTTTTTTAAAGACTTGTTTATTTATTCATGAGAGACACTGAGAGAGGGGCAGAGACACAGGCAGAGGGAGAAGCAGGTTTCCTGCAGGGAGCCCGATGTGGGTCTTGATCCCAGGACCCCAGGATCATGATCTGAGCTAAAGGCAGATGCTCAACTGTCGAGCCACCCAGGCTCCCATGACTGTTGGATTCTTAGTTGGAGCACAGGATCCTTCCAGGTGACTCAACTGGCAGCAGGCATTTGCTGATTGGGGCACCCTTGCTCAGATCAGGTTCAACTGCTGTGTCAATAGGACTTAGGAGCAAGTTCTTGTACAGTAAATCTCAGATACTTCACCTTCTGCCTGTTTCCAGTGAACTGCATTACGCATCAGGAGCATTTCATTGTCACTGGCAGGGCTGTGTAGCAGCTGAGTCTGTCGGCGACTCTCCTAGCACATCTGGCGAATCCATTAACTTGCAACACCGTTCCTTCTACCTGGTTATTTATGAGGCTGCTGGTCTGGACCAGCCTTTCCTGGTTCTGTCTGGTACGGTGTCTAGAAATTTTTAACTTACTCACTGTACACTTTAACCTACTCTTCTCAACTTATACAGATATACCATCTCATAAACACATGTCGAGAACTTTAAGTAGGAAGAGACCCCCCTACCCCCTTATACACCAAATTTATTCCCTTTCTAAAATGTTCCGTTTACCCTTTCTCTGAGTTATAATACACTTTGCAATTACACGTAACAACGTCCCCACTTTTTTTTTTTTTTTTTTTTATCATGAGAGACTCATGCCTTTCGTAGGTTCAACTTGTTCTCATAGATCAACAACCGGAGACCTAGCTGTTCTTTGTGATGTGCAAGCTGTCACAACCTGGCGGGAGGGAACTCCTGGTCTCAGCTGTCCACTGCCTTTCAGCAACAGCCCAGCACTTTTGCAGCAACCTGCTTTCCTGGTAGTAGCAAGATGTTTCAGGCTGCTCCAGTTTACCCCTGCTCCCAAACACGGACTCAGCTTCTTTGAAGGAGCCCTGGCTACTGCTAATGAAAAATACCATTGAGATCGGTAGTTCGGGGCTGAGGGTACAAGCAGACCGTGATGGCCATGGGAAGGATAGAACTCGAGAGATGTTGCTCCTAAGGTCATAATTTTGTCCACAGTGAAACTGCTCATATCATTCTAATATTACTATCCCCCTTTCTTTTATATAATTTTAAACGGATTTTTCTCTACGGTGTGCCTATTTGGGGTTTTAGCACTCCACTCAGACTGTGATTATCCCCACCTCTTATTTTGTTATTGCCCTGTGCCTTAAGGCCCATTATTTTGAGGTCACCAGTGTGAATCCTTTATCAAAACCTGCTTTCAAGAAAGTGTCTTATAAAATCATGTACAGGTTCTTTTTATGTAAATGCCTATTTGTCATGCAGCTATGAGATATAATCATAAAATTATTGACACGAATATATTCAATTACATAGAATATTTATCATAGAGCTAAGTCAAGTCATTTCATGTTGCTAAACCTATCGACACAAATTCCTTGACGTGCTAGCCTCGAGGGGCTGACTGCCACCAAAGGGCCAGCTGGGAAGCTTGATCTTCTTGGGAACCATTGTGGAAGTAGGATGCCATTAATTATATAATTTTGAGCAATTTATATTTAATTCTACTAGTGTTTTTTCATTAATTGAGGGCATTTTGAGATATGACCGGCAAATGAAAAGAATAAAGATGTTCGCTGACTGAAAATGTGCCCATCACTCAGCAGTGATGGATGAGCCAGGGGTGGACTCGTCACTCCATTTGCAGATCTGATCCCACAGAAAAGGGACTCTGTTGTTTCCATATGCCAGCGGCCAGGCCAGTTTTCAGTAATGATAAGTGTTCAGTGAATCTTCTTTGGCTAAGAGGAGGAAGAAAATGCCATGGGAATAATAGAGGAAATTGTAGCTGTCCAAATAATTAACTCAGGACCATCACCCATAATCCACAATTGCTTTTTTTTTTTTTTTTAAATCCGACGTTGTTAATATTGAGACAAATTTTAAATTGCTTCATTTCCAAAATTCATTTTGGTCACAACATCCAGGAGCAATCCATCTGATAATCAATAGCTAACATTTATTGCTGCCGCAAGAAAGCAACCCAGCACAAAACCAATATTGTCAGCAACCAGAACAACTCTAATTTCCTGATAGAAATCAATTCGCAGCAAAATAGTGATTATTGTAAATATTTATAGTTCTGAAAGGAAAAGCTCATCAATGCAGCTTTTGGGGCCGTTCATTTCCTAACGAAATCTGTGATGGGCTCCACCTAGCTAGCCATCTGTTTGTGATGTAGGATGTGGTGGGTGTGTGGCAGGAACACAATGACTACCTTGGACTTGGCTCTGTTGGGAGGCACGGTGGGTAGTCTGGACACATCTCCGATGATGCTTAATGGGAACACCAGGCATGGAGAGACTCCTTCCACACCTGGGTGGCTGTGTGACCTCTGCTGGCTCGCTGGGTGATCTAAAAAAGCCACACAACCTCTCTGAACATTCCTTTTCTCATCTTAGAAAAGAACGATAATCGCCGTCTGTCCAGTTTTACCTCCTAGTTGTCCTGCTGATGAAAAGAAACGATGGGGGGGGGTATCTCGGAACATTTATCTGGTGGACTGTGCAAATGTCGTGTCTCATCATGACCCTTTATCTCCCAAGAACAGGATGAAGGAGCAAGACACAAGGCCCCTGAGAAATTCAAGATGTGATCCTAAAGCTCGACGTCCGTGGGCTTTTGCTGAGATACAGGTGAGGACGGAACCGAGTCAGTTCATGCAGCACTACCTACTGTGCAGAGAGCTGGGCAACCAGCAGGAGCAAGACCCCGTCTGGCTTCTGTGCTCCTGGTCTAGCTGACGGGCAGAGGGCTGTGTAAACGCCTAAGTGCATTACTTGTGGGGAACGGGGCAAGGTAAATATGAGCCAGAGGAGGCTGTCTCAAGCCGAGCACCAACAGCGAGGAGGCTGCTCCAGAAAAAAAGACCTGCTGCAGGCAACGATGAGCTTTAAACCCGTGTTTCCCAGACATCTCACCTGAGGCTCCCCCTTTCACATCTCCTCCCCTTGTCTGTGCGCAGGTACCATTTCCTTGGAAGTCGACTTCATTCTCAAAAAAAAAACAAAAAACGTTAGGCGGTGTGCTTAAAAAGAAAAGTGTATTACTGCTATAGATGCAGAAACTCCCATCACTTGTAAACAAGAGATAACCTTAAAGATGCAAGCGACACAAAACTCATTAATTTATTCAATAAGTGACTGCCTGCCGGGGCTCGGTTTCTGGTTTCTGGGGCCGGCCAGGAGGGGTGGCCGCGAGGAGATGGGGAGGATCAGCCCGGGCGCTAGCAGACCCTAGGGCAGGGGCTCAGGCGGGCTCCCGCGGCTGGAGCGGCCCCCCTCCGCCTCGGAAAGGCAGGACGGGGCCCGGACGTGCCCAGCGGACACCCAGCCTGCAGAGCCGAGGCCGGGCGCTAGGAAACCGGGCGGACGCGTTGCAGGCACCGACCCCGTGCGGGGCGGCCGGGCGCCAGCTGGCTGCGGCTGCACGCTCCGGGCGGCGCCACCCGGCCTCCTCCGAGCATCCTTCCTCGGGGCACACGGCAGCCGCCCCGACTGACAAAGCGGTAAACTGGGCCCAAGGGAGGCTAACTCGCCGTCCCGCATCGGGTCGTGAACAAACGGCAGCGCTGGGACGCGAACGCGGAGCCGTCCCTGCACGTCCCGCCCGGTGGCTCTGCCGCGGGGGCGCCGAGGGCGCGCAGGCAGGTAGGTCAGCCCGTTCCCTGCAGCGAGCCGGAAGGGGCGGGGCGAGACTCCCAATCCCGCGACCCGGACTCCAGGCCTCGCGTTAGCTCCCCCCCAGGAGCGGCTCAAAAACCGGAGCGGCGGAGTCCGCGGAGCGGGACGCGCGGCGCGGCCGGCGGGCCCGAGCATGCGCACTGGCCCGCGCAGCCGGGACGCGCTCGGCGCTGGGGGAGGGGCACCCGAGGCTGACGTCCGCTACGCCGGCGTCAGCGCCCCGTGAAGAGGAGGGCGACGACTCCAGCCGCCATGTTGGATGCCGCAGATTCGCCATAACCTCGCCTCGGCTCTTTTCTTAAAAAAATAAAAATAAAAAGCGAAGCGTCGGCGGGGCGCCTCGGCTTCTCGGCCTGCGCGGAAGGGGGCCCGGAAGAGCCCGAGCCTTTTTTTTTTTTTCCTTTCCCCTCCGCGGCGGGGGCGTTGCCATGGAGACGCGGGCGGCAGGTGAGCCGGGCCGGGGGTTGGGGGTAGGGGACGCGGTGGGGGTGGGGCGCGGCGCGGCGCGCGGGAAGCCGTTTCGAGTTCGGAGTCGGGAGAAGCGCGCGGGCCGCCGGGCGGCGGAGGGATCCGCGGCCCGGGGCGGAGAGCGCGCGTCGGGCGGCGGCCTGCGCACGTCGGGACGTGGGTGGTATCCCGCCGCCTCGGGGGGGTTTATTTCCGAGAAGTCGCGAGAGCGCCGGCTCCGGAGGCGGCGCGGGGAGGCTGCGCGCGTGCGCATGCGCGTGCGCGGGGCCGTTTCCAGGGCGACCGGGAGCGTCGCCGTCCCGGCGGGCGGGAGGTTCGAATCCCGGCCTCCCCGCCCCGGCGCCTCCGGCTCCTCCTCTGCGAAACCTGCGGACGGACCGGGTTCGGCGGGGCCGGCGGAGCAGGACAGCTTTGCGCGCCGTGGACGGGGCCCCAAACGCCGCGGGGGAGCTCCTCGTCGGGGGCCCGCTTCCTCACCCTGCAGAGTTCAGCCCAGAAGGCACCTCCTCCAGGCAGCCGTCCGTGGTTGCGCCGCCGATCCCGCCTCCCTGCAGGCTGGCCCGTAGCGGTCGGGCTTTCCGCGCAGCGCCCGGCCCGAGACCCCTGAGCTTGCGCCGGGGTCTGTTCACCCGGGGTCGGCACCGGCCGTGGGCGTTTGGCTGCTCGTGTCCCCCGCGAGGCTAAAGCGTGTGCGTCGTTTCCTGGCGAGGGGCAGAGGGTCGCGGTTCCAAAAGGTCCGAGCCGACGCCCCGAGAACCCGCGTCCTCCAGGTTGGGGTGAAACGCAGACTCGCGCCCCGGGAGTGGGGCTTGGGGGGATGAAGGAGCTGCGGCTCTCCTGCCTCTCCCGGGGACCCTGCAGAAACCGCAGCGCGTGCAAGGGGCTCGCCCCCCACGGCTGCCCCCGGCCCCGAGCTCCGTGTGCCCAGCCTCACCCCGCCCTGGGTCAGGACCCCTGGACCGCAGCCCCCCACGCTTTCTTACAATGACGACCGTCTGCTGTGCTGCACCGCCCCCCCCCCCCCACCTTGTGCTGATGCACAGAACGAGCTGCCCTCCTCCCCTCTGTGGGACTTAACAGCTTTAGAAAAGAAACCCGGGCATTTGTTGCTTCAATTTCCAGCTGAAATAAATGAGACATCACGTATCTTTTCCTTCCTTTCCTTTCCTTCCCTTCCTTTCTTCCCTTCCCTTCCTTCCTTCCCTTCCTTCCTTCCTTCCTTCCCTTCCCTTCCCTTCCTTCCTTCCCTTCCTTCCTTTCCTTCCTTCCCTTCCTTCCTTCCCTTCCTTCCTTCCTTCCCTTCCTTCCTTCCCTTCCCTTCCTTCCTTCCCTTCCTTCCCTTCCTTCCTTCCCTTCCTTCCTTCCCTTCCCTTCCTTCCCTTCCCTTCCTTCCCTTCCCTTCCCTTCCTTCCCTTCCCTTCCCTTCCTTCCCTTCCTTCCTTCCTTCCCTTCCTTCCTTCCCCTTTCTTCTCTCTCTCTCACTTCCTTCCTTCCTCTTCTTCCTTCCTTCCTTCCTTCTTCCTTTCTTTCCTTTCCTCTCTCTCTCTTTCTCTCTTTCTTTTCTCTTCCTTCTTTCTTTTCTTTCTTCTTTCTTTTCTCCTTCCTTCCTTCCTTCCTTCCTTCTTTCCTTCCTTCCTTCCTTCCTTCCTTTATTTATTTATTTATTTGATTTTATTTACTTATCCATGAGGAACAGAAGCAGGCTCCCTGTAGGGGAGCTGAATGCGCAGGACTGGATCCCAGGACCGCTGAGCCACCCAGGCGTCCTCCAAGAGATCGTGTTTTTCTAAACATTGTTATTTGTCAACCTGTGATCGGCTTATTTCTGAAAAGAGCTTCCTGTTTGGCTCGGTCGTTAGGTTGATTTTGGGGGAAGCAGTGCAAGACGTGATGGCAGGATGGATGGAGTTGCCTGTGGTGTGTGGGGCCCCGGTCTTGGGTGGTGAGCTTGGCTGCCATGGTCATCGCAGTAAATTGGAGATGTTGCCACCTGGCTCCCCCCTCGGCCTTTCCAGTTTACCTGGTGCAGCGACCTCTGTTCCTCCTCTGGCCCGGCCCTATGGTTTACAGAACAACTTCTCAGGGATAGCTGTCCAGGGCACTGAGGAGGGCACTTGATGGCATGAGCACTGGGTGTTATACTGTATGTTGGCAAATCGAACTCCAATAAGAAAATACACCAAAAAAAAAAAAAAAAGAATTTTAAGTTTTTGCCTGGGGCAAGGGCAATCAAGAATTAGGTGTATTGAAAAGACTCTCCTTAATTGCATTTCCTTTTATAGGTAGTTTCCTGCCTGCTGCCTCTGAAAACCTCCCCATCAAGCTGGGCCGATTTAATTATGTAGAGGGGACTTAGCCTAGAGTGAAGTTTTCTCTTGTTCTCAGTTGTTTATCCTGTTAAAATTTCACTGTCTTTGAAATTTCTCAAGGGTAGGTGTCAACTTTAGGGGCTGGGATAATGGGGAGGGTGGAGAGAACACGTGCTCTGGGTCTCGGAGATCTGCCAATCGCCTGACTCTTGAAACCCCTGTTGCTTCACTCCAGTCTGCAAAAGGAGACCTAATCCTATTGCCTACTCCAGGCCCGGTAGCGCTGGTGTTTGTCCCTTCCTGACCCAGACCTGGTCTCTCTGTAAAGCCTAATGCATCGTCATCTACTTGCTACTTGAAAACATTCGTGCCGTGGACTTTAATTTTTTATTTTATTTTTAATTTTTATTTATTTTTTAAAAAGATTTTATTTATTCATGACAGAGAGGGAGAGGCAGAGACACAGGCAGGGGGAGAAGCAGGCTCCTTGCAGGGAGCCTGACGTGGGACTGGATCCCTGGTCTCCAGGATCAGGCCCTGTGCTGAAGGCAGCGCTAAACCGCTGAGCCGTGCAGGCTGCCCAGACTTTAATGTTTTAAAAGGGGAGGGGGTGGCGGCAAAAAAGTAATCCAGGAGCAAAGCAAGCAGACATATTAAACGTTTATTACAGATTTGAAGTTGTGTCTCTTTTTGTCAGGGAACGCAAAATATGTGGGTGATCGAGTTGGTTTGTTAAAAGATTATGCTTGATGTATTAATGTAAAAAGGGTTTTAAATCCGGTGACAGACTTTTCTTTGTTCTTTTAAGTCTTGTAGCACATGGAGCTGCAAAGTGGTAAAGTCTGGAGTCTGCTGCTGTTGTGTCCCACGCTGGGTCTGTGCCCAGGCAGGACGGTCAGGGTGGGGACCTGGCTTTGCTGGGGGGCCTCGGGGGCCTTGGGGGACCCACTCAGCCATGGCACCTGGAAGCTAGGAGCAGCAGGCTTCGGCAGCAGCATTCTGGAAATGGGGGTCTCACGTTTCCTGGCATCCCAGAGGGCTTGCGAGGCAGCCCCTTGGCTTCTCTGCCACCAGGTCTTTTCTTCAGGGGCCACTATCACTTCTCTGCCCCTTGGCACCTTTTCTTTTCCTTACTTTTTTTTTTTTTCCCCTCCATCAAGCTGATTCCCCAGTTTGACCAGGTGTTTGTGCCAAACTTTGTTCCAGGAGCTGGAAACATCAAGTCAAATAGGACACGCTATTTCCTCCTGAGGCTCTGACACGGTCCTAGCAGTGGAAAAACCTGCTCCCTCAGGAGAAAGTGCCAGGTGCTGTGATGCAAGTGAGCCCCGAGAATCAGGGCTTCAGGAGGGGTGCAGCTAGCCCAGCCAGGGGATTCCGGGAGGGCTTCCTGAAGGAGGAGGTGCCCGAGCTGGAACTTGAAGAGTGAGGGGAGATGCCCTGCAGAGGGTTGGTGGTACCTCGGCACAGGTGTGAGCAGCCACCGGTGTGTTCTGTGGGCCCCGGTGAGCGCTGGGGCTGGAGGCAGGGCGGGGTGGGGTGCTGGTGTTTCCAACAGCAAAAAGCTATTTGGGACTTTCTTTTTTTTTATTTTATTTATTTATTTATTTATTTATTTATTTATTTATTTATTTATTTATTCATTTATTTAATTTGGGACTTTCTTGTGCAAACTTTGAACACTGAGAGGCTAACAGGGCCTGCCAGTTTGCCTCAGCAGCTGCCTGGAGACAGTTTCTTTGAGGTGTAATAATCTGTAGTGAAATGCACAGACCACAAGTGTAGGGTTTAAACACCCGTATTCCCCACACCCTATTACCCACACCACGATGATACAGAACTTTATCCTCACCCCGGAAAGTTCTCTTTTGCCGCTTCCCACCCCATTCCTGCCCCTCACCCCAAGCAGCCACTGGTCTGAGTAATGTCACCATAGGCACTGTTTTTTGTAGAACATCAGAATTCTTTGGTGTCTGGTTTCTTTCACTCATCATAGAGGCCCCGAGATC